ATCAAGCCACTCTCATTATCATCTACCTGTCTGTCTTATGAACGTACATCAGCTAAACTAAACCTGGCAAATACTATCTAAAATATTGTTGCTATTTATCGATCAAATCCAATCATTCCAACAAACATTTTCTTTTTCGAATTATCTGAACTCCTAGAGGAACTTCAAACATTATCTGGAGAAATACTTCTGTGTGGTGACTTTAACTGTCCAGGTACTATTCCAATAACCTGCAATTCAAAACTTAATGAGATTTTAGAGACCTACAACATGATACAACGAGTTCAATCTCCAACTCGCATATCATCTACTACTGGTATAGCCAACTTGCTTGATCTTGTAATAAATCGACATGATGATATTTCACTCAAGAGTATCCAAGTAACTGACGAGGGTATTTCAGATCACTCTATGATTCGGGTAGAACTTTATCATCAACCTTCAAATACTAAAACTGTTTGGTTTTCAAAACGAAACTTTAGAAAACTAAACTTGTCATGCTTTATAAAAGAATTGCAAGTGATGCCATGTTGCTTATCACCTAAAAACAATGTGGATGATTATGCTGAATAAATAAGATCAAATATAACAACTGTTCTTGATCATTTAGCACCCATTCGAAAATATTCAATGCGAATTGGTAAACACGATGATCAATGGTTATCTTCAGATGCCAAGAATAAAAAAATCAGGCATTGTTAACTGGAACGTTGTTATAGAAAAACTGGTAGTTTATCAGATAAAAAATTATATCGAACTGCATGCCGTGAGGCTGCAGCAGTAATTCACGAATCCAGATGTAGTCATTATAGGGCGAAACTAAATTCAGCATACGATGATCAAAAAGAAACATGGAACATTGCCAAGAAATTACTACATTCGAATAGTTCTAAAACTAATAACACAATACCAGAAGCAAAATGCGATATAATAAGTCAATACTTCATATGCAAACTCGAAATTATAAAGAACACTATCGAGGAAAGGCTTGCAAAAACTCCAATATCTAAATTTATCTCAGAGTTATCTCCCCCTGTAGATATTTTAACAACATTTGGTACAGTCACACCTAAAGATGTGTCGAAAATAATCAAAACTCTCAAATCTAAGACATCGCCACTTGATATTATTCGAACAAACATCCTTAAATCTTGTTCAGAAATATTGAGTCCAATTATAGTTCACCTTGCTGACCTCTCATTCAAATCCGGAATTTTCCCAACCTCATGTAAAGTTGATCAAATAACTCCAATTCCCAAAATATCAGGACTAGCAGAATAAGACCTAACAAATCTACGCCCCATATCAAATCTCAATACAATTTCGAAAATTCTTGAAAAGCTTGCTTTATCTCGTCTTCATCCACATGTAACATCATCTGTCAACTTCAATCCTCTACAATCTGGTTTTAGATCTTATCACTCAACCGAAACAGCACTCTTAAAGATATGCAATGACATCCTGCTAAACATTGATGATGGTTGGACCACTATTCTCCTATCTCTGGACATATCTTCAGCATTTGATACAATCGATCACAGCCTGCTGATTACCCGTATTAAGAATGATTTTGGTGTCACAGATATTGCATTAAAATGGCTAACATCATACTTGCACTCTCGAAAATCTTTTGTTTCTATTGGATCATCAAATTCTAGACTAATAGCAAGTTCAACAGGAGTACCACAGGGAAGTGTATCAGGCCCATTACTATTTTCCATGTTTGTTTCACCTATATATCGTATTTTAGCTAAATTTGGTACAAATCATCATCAATATGCTGATGATACCCAACTTTATACTTTCCTCAGCCCTGGCAAAGATAGCATCAACAAAATCACTGAGTGTGCTAATGCAGTAACAACATGGTTTCTAGAAAATGGACTTCTGCTTAATCCAAATAAAACAGAGGCTATTTTATTTGGATCTAGAAAACAAACTAGCAAATATACAAAAATTGTCATGTATCCATACATTATTTAACTAAACTTTGATCCACCAGAACTTTACTAAATAAATTTATACTGGTAATCAAACTACCACAAGTCAAAAAACTTAGACAGTATTATTGAAATCAGCTTTGACCAATAGTTAATATTTGATTTTTTTTATTCTTTACTATATAAGAAACAAAGAAAAGATCCGAAGAAAAGATCCGAAAAAACAAAGAAAAATCCGAAGAAAAACAAAACTATTCACAAACATAATTACTTACATTCTTCTTTGGAGTCCTCTTTAGTCGTGAAATTAAATCCTGCACATACTTCTTTATCTATTAGTAATTATTTAGTAAAATAAATATAAACAAAATTATGTAAAAACAAAAATGTAGAATAAGTGTAAACAGATTACAATATATATCTAGGCAGTAATAATACCATAAACAGATTCAAAATATTACTTATTCCGAAATAAAAATAAAATAGTTTATTTGATATAGTACTTCACCGTTAATATAAAACTATAATAGTTTTTTTATTTATATAAAACAATTAAAATAGCAATACTTACTGTAAAATTTATTGAACTCCAGTTATTTTAACTCTTTCAAGTCTAAGCTTGTTGCAGGAATCAATGATTGGAAAATTATTATAGGTAGCATTCATTGCATGAACACAAGTTGGCTAAAATAACCATCCATCTTTTTTCGAACAAGATGGAACAACTGCCTCTGCTTCAAACCTAATGTATATGTAAATAATGTATATATAAATCTTTATATATACATTATTTACATATATATATATATATATATATATATATATATATATATATATATATATATATATATATATATATATATATATATATATATATATATATATATATATATATATATATATATATATATATATATGTATATATAAATGAATATATAGTTTTTATGTGTATACACATAGTTGTCATGTTTTGAAAATGTTTACAAGGGAGACTTAGAAAATATTTTATACCACTGGATATTTGTCCACTACAATACCTCTATTGACTAAAAAAGTTTTTTAATGATTTATTACTCTGAAAACTAACTTTAAAATGTCCAAAGTTGTTCACTGACTGAGCTGAAATTTATTCTGTATTGATATACTTTTATATATTTATGTTTGTGTTGAGCAATTTGTAACAATCTTTAACCATTTTTCTTAACTTATAAAATGAAAACAATTTAAAAAGTTAGAAACTTGCTCTATTTTAAGTTACTAATCAAGAAAAGAAAGTTTTTAAATTATTTTTAAATGCAGGTTGGAGATAAATTACTCTTCAAAATTCAGAAAACTCCTGCCTAATGGGATTGACTTCATAGGTCTGTATACAGATACTTAATAAAACTAGTATACAAACTCTTAATAAAATAATAAATAAATGTTAAATATATATATATATATATATATATATATATATATATATATATATATATATATATATATATATATATATATATATATATATATATATATATATATATATATATATATTTATATATATATATGTATGTATGTATGTATGTTAAAGGAATAATTTTTAAATAAATTATAAAAATTTATTGTGTTAACAGACTTAATTTAGTCTGACTTGTTATGTTTTATTAATTTTGATAATATTTTATAAATGTGAATAGTATTAAAACTAAATACTATTTCTAACTAAGAAATAAATATTTAAAAAAGTTGAGCATTTTATTAAAATCGTCAACTTAAAACAAAATAAAACATTGACAAAAATAAGCTGAATAAATCGAGTTTAACCTAAGATTTATGTACTTTATACATTTTGATATAAAATCTAAAAGTTTCAATTTGGTCGCAATAAAATAGGCTATAAAATACAACTTTTTATACCATATGCATACATTCTATCAAATTTTCCTTGCCTTTCCATTACGGCAAATTACTTTTGTAATGGCTAGTTATTGAGACAATAATTTTCAATGTGCCACTTCCTCAACATTGTCAAAACAACATTTTATTAACGTTGGCAAAGTAACACTTTTTCAACGTCTTTTAATTACCACATTTTCAACCAACGTTGAAATAACGTTGAATAAGTTTTTTTTTTTCAAATAGTTTAAATTCGTTGAAAAAGCAGCTAATGTCTAACGAAAGAGCAGCTTATGTCTAACGTTGATAAACCATTACCTTTGTGATTATTTGCGTACTTATTTTCAACGTTTAATAAACGCATTTTTTTGAGAAGATAAGATACGTTTAAGTCTATACGCTTATTCAACGTTGAAAATGTAACCTTTAAAAAGCGGTTTGTTTTTAACGTTGATAAAGAATATACTTCGAAACGTTTTTAAAGTGGCTTTTTGCTGTAAGTTGATTCCACGTTGAATAAACGTTTTATTTTGAGAGGCTAAATTACGTTACAATTTCAACGCTTATTCAGCGTTTGAGTTTACCGCGATTTAGTATACAAAAACAGACATTAATTCAACGTTGAAAGCACGTTGTATTTGTGACTGTAACGCTTTTTCTACGCTGCGACTGATTTTCAACGCTGATTCAACGCTTACATGTTTGCTGGGTACCTTTTTAAGAAGAAACTGAAATAATTTTGAATATAACTTGCTTGACTGAAACTTGGATTTTTTTGAACTAGCTTTAAAAGAACTATGCTTTCCATATTTCAGGTTTTGAAAGAGTTTTTTCTGAGTGACTAATGAAGGAGTTGGAGGAGTTTTATTTTATGTAATTGGAAAACGTTGTACTTTACGCGAGGAATAAAAAAACGGTTTTTGAATTAAATAATTCAAATTAGATTCGACCAATAGTTGTTACACTACTAAACTATAAAGACAAAGTAGACATTTTAAAACAGGCAAAAAAATTAGAGAAAAAAAAAAAAACTACTGCGCTGAAACTTCAAATATAAGAAAACAGCTTCGAGAACAACTGAAAAGGGAACGAGACGGCGGAAAATACGCAGTTATATTGTAATAAACTAATCATTTGCGACTGGACTCCCAAAAGAAAAGTAAATTGGTTATGTTTTTATTTTATCTTTATTGCTTAAATTCTCATTTTAAAATAGAAACAAACTTATTATCTAACTAATGCTAAAAATAATACATCCAATGATAATGACATAAATAAAATTAAATCTTTTCTAAGAAACAAAAACATAATTTTAGAAAACAACCCTGAATCAAAGATTAGCTTTTATAAGGATGGGAAAGGGATGGAAAATATAAGCTCTTATTATTACAGTTCAAACGTTCCAACAATAACTGCTAACAGAGATGACAATGCACTATCCATCCTGCATCTAAATATAAGGAGCATACAAAAAACATTTTACTAAATTTTAGGAACTTTTATTTAGCGTCAAAATTAATTTTCAAATTATATACCTAATAGAAACATGGTGCTGGTATAAAGAAATTGAAAATAACTCTAACTTTTAAATTAATAATTATAAAGTTATTCATCAAATAAGAGGATCTCAAAAAGCGGAAGTAGTAGTGTGCATTTCCATAAACAATTCTTAAGATTTTAAACTACTAAGTTTAAACTAATTAGTAGTGAATTGTGCTCAATAACAAAAGATTATGAGTTAACCATTAAGGTATTAAACGACTGCAAATTTTGCAGCAACGTAATTTTTCACGTCATATATAGAGCGCCTCAGGTAATATAAAAACATTTAACAAACGCTTGAAATGTTTAATTACAAAAAATGATACCGTAACACGAGGTTACTTTCGCCAGCTGGGTTAGTTTGGCCATTTTTTAAAAGTTTAGTTAAACATTTGTAACTTTTAAACAGTTAAGTAACGTTTTACTATTTAAAATAGTAAAACATAACCAAAGTAACCAAGTGTTACGGTATGTGTATATATTATAGAGATACAAATATAATATATATATATATATATATATATATATATATATATATATATATATATATATATATATATATATATATATATATATATATATATATATCAAGATATACAAATATAAAAAATTTAACTCAAACAAAATATGTTTTTTTCCATCGCTATAATAAACGAGACAAAATTCCATTAAAACTTACAAACCTTTGTATTGACAGTTGCAAAATAAAAAGAGAAATATCATTAAAATTTCAAGTACTCTTTGACGAAAATGTAACATGGAGAGATCGTATAAATACATTTAAGGTAAAATATCAAGGAGCATCGGCCTATTTTTAGGGCAAAACCTTTTTTAAATTCAAGTTGTTTAAAACTCTTACATTTCTCTTTTTTTCATTCTTATTTTAATAACGCTAATATGGCATGGTGCATTATCTTTAATATACAAAAACGTGCAATCAGAATCATATCCAATGAAAGCTGCTATACACCCCAGGGGCGTTTACAGGAAATTTTTTGGATAAGTCAAAAAAAAAAAATTATTCCCCCCTCTGCCTCTCTATTTTTTTTGGCAGAGGGGGAGGGGGACCGGATTGAGTGTGTTTTATAAAAATGTTTTAATTTTTTAAATGACTTGTAACATTGATAAAATGGAAACTAAAGCTCAAAATATGATTTTTGCAAACTAAAGAAATTATTTTTTGAAAATACTCAGTTGTCTTAATGTATAATATATACGTGTTAAAAATTTTTACAAGTTTTGTGAAAACAATTTACAAGATTAATGTAAGATTTTGCTGTTTAAATTTTTTTATATAACTTAATAAATAACTTTTAATTATAAATAAACTTTATAAATACTTAGAGTCAAAAACTTACTAGAATAACTGTACAATGCTAAATGTTTTTACAAAAATGTCAGGCTATGAAAATAGCTGTTTAACAAAAAGCACCTAAAACATTTGAAGTTATACTTTTATCGTATTTGAATTTTATTTAAAACACAACTCATAAGTATTTATAACAAACTTGAAAAGGTTTGTTGCTTGTAATGTTTCAGTATTATTAGATTAAAGTTCATTTTTGAAATTCAGGCAGTTGAGTGAAATTCAACTAAACTTTCCACAGATCAAATTTGAGTAATAAAGCCTTTGGTTTGGAAATAATAAATAAACCTAATAAAGCCTTTGGTTAAACAAAACACTAAAAAATATAATTTGGTTTTCTCAACTAGTATAAAAAAACATTGAATTTCTGCAATTGTTTTTAGAAGAAACTAAATATTAGAAAGAAGAAATTAAAATACAGGTGCTTTATAACACTTCAAAATTGTATCAATCAACCATTGTGTTAATCTCAGTAATCTAGATAAAACTCAGATAGTCTAGAAGAAGAAAGAGCGATAACCAAGTTAAAATAATTTGAAATGCAATTTTTAGGCTTGTTTAGAGGTGTTGATTGATAATATTTCAAACTATAGAGACAAAATCTTTTAATGCTTGAATAAGATTTAAACTATAAAAATTATCATTATTACTTGCTTGCAAAATTATGTAATTAAAAAAGTTATGTTAAAAACATGTTTTGTTATACACAGTGCAACAATAAAATCAAAATTTGTTATAAATTCAGAAGAAGAAGCAGTAGCAGAGGCTGCACCATTAATGACATTCTTTGAGACAGAAAACCACAGGTATAAAAAACTTTCGTAAAGTATCCATGCCACAATTTCACATTTCATAACACCCAAAGAAAAATCAGTAATAGCTTTTATGAAAATACTAAGTAAACAAGTTTTTTCTTTAATGTGGTTCATCATAGTTCCTATTACGATTATCATGAATCTCATAAAGGATAAATAATATGGCTAATTAAAATTATACTTAATAAGTCTAAAATCTTCTTCTTGATTATATCAAAAGTTCTACACAATTAAAGTAATATTCGGTCGCCTAACTTTAAAGGAAATGATGCTTTTCTTTAACATACTAAATTTTTCTTTAAAATGCTATTTAAACTTGTGAATTAAGCGACATTTTGAACTAATCATCGGACATGTTATATGTTTAATAAAATTAATTAATTTTATAAAACACAAATTTAGCAGGGTATAGGTCAAAGGGGAAGTTCAAAAATTATTTTCCACATTTAAAACCTTTTTTCTCCTTATTTATTACTTAAAATGCAAGTTATTAAAATGATACACAGTCTAGTGTAATAAAGCTGGGGATGTCTATTGATATATTTTGATATATACTAGTTGTTACTAACTAATTTTACCACCTGGTGATAGTTAAACAATAAAACTTAATAAAAATTCTACTCAGGGTTTTGACTCATGTCAAAAGGGAAATCCAAAGTTTGTTCTAACTGAAATAAAAATAGAGTTCTATATAACAAAATAAAATAAGGTATGTCAATTCAAGTTTCTAATACACGATTCTCTGATTTGAGTTTAAGCGCTGCGCACGCATGTTAAATAACATGCGCAAACCTAGTGGAGGTAAACAAACCAAAAAGAATAAATCTAAAGATAAATGTCTGAAATGGATAACGAAGATACAGTTTTATCAAATCAAATGACTTTACAGGATTTCAAAATAATGTCTGTTATATATATATATATATATATATATATATTATATATATATATATATATATATATATATATATATATACATATATACATATATATATATATATATATATATGTATATATATATATATATATATATATATATATATATATATATATATATATATATATATATATATATATATATATATATATATATATATATATATATATATATAGTGTTATAATAAACTATATAGTGTTATATAGAATAATACATAATAATAGTGTTATAATACACAATAATTATAGTGTATTATAATAGTATTATAATACACTAGTGTATTATAACACTATTAATATTCATTATACTATAAAAAACTATATAATTTATTATAACACTATTAACACTAATAATTTACACAATATCCATATAATAAGTATATAATACACTATGATTATAGTGTTATATAACACTATTATTATGAAAGAAGTAGTCTAGTTAATCTATACATAAAAGTTCTGTGCAATTACAGTTTTCTTCTTCTCTTCTTGTCCCGTGAACTTCGCAAATTTCCTGTCTCCATTTAATAAGTCTATATTGACCATTTTTATAACCTTTAACAGCACAATGAGTAGACATTCATATTTCTTTTATGACCTTCTCGCAGTAACTCAAGTCAAATTATATAAATAAATGTTTGTTAGGTTTGCGCATGTTATTTAACATGCGTGCGCAGCGCCTAAACTCAAATCAGAGAATCGTGTATTAAGTTATTTAACTCAAAACTTAGTTTAACCTCCATCAAAATATTGTAATTATTATTTTTTAATAATCGCAAAATTTTGAAACCGGTATACTATTTTCCGGTTTTTAAAATTTTTGAACTTGAACCGTTTTCCGGTTTTTAATTTTTTTCCAACCGTTCAAGATAATTAACCGTGCATAATTTGTTTAGTTTTAGCTGTAGTTTGGTTTTAATAGTTATATATATAGTAAGACTTTTTTCGACAATATAATCAAGTTGAAAAACTTTTATTTAATTTTTTCGGGTACGTCCAACGACGTAGCGGACACCCCCTAGACACGCCCCTGCACCCTTCCAACCTTTATTCACTAAGTTAAATATACTAAATATCTACCAAATAATTATTTATCACCTTTTAGTTTTTATGTTCAAAATTAATAAAAGTATTATTCCAAAAACCTTTAATCCCTCATTCAAAACTAATCATGATAGATACTTAACTATATATTCCAATAACATCTATATAAAACCCAAAAGTTATTTTGTAGCAACTGAGTTTTTAATTTCAATTACAGGACCAAAGGCATTGAATATTTTTTTTTTTTTTTTTTTTTTTGGGTCGTTATTACTATATATTAGTTACATGTAAAACAAAATGCTATAATATAAATTTTTTTGTTCTTGCTTCTGGAGCAAAATTCTAAGAGCAGATTCTTAGCAGTTTTTTAGAAAGCAGATTCTTAGCAGAGCAATAGGGCAGATTCTTAGCAGAGCAATAGAACAGATTCTTAGCAGAGCAATAGAACAGATTCTTAGCAGAGCAATAGAACAGATTCTTAGCAGAGCAATAGAACAGATTCTTAGCAGAGCAATAGAACAGATTCTTAGCAGAGCAATAGAACAGATTCTTAGCAGAGCAATAGAGCAGATTCTTAGCAGAGCAATAGAACAGATTCTTAGCAGAGCAATAGAACAGATTCTTAGCAGAAAGAATCTGTTCTATTGCTGAAACACCTGAACTTAAATCTCTTTTAATGTTAAACGAGTTTAAGGCTAAAATTAGAGAGTTGTTACTAAAAATTGATTACCACAAAACTATTTATGA